GATCTTGAGCACTTGAGCACTTGATAGGGCCGGCCGATTCCGCATGGTACGGGACCCCTCGATCGTCTCGCCCTCCCTCACTGGTGTGTTCATTGGGGGGGGTCATAACAATGTGTATTGGTGTCTTTTTTATGTATGTAGCTCTTATGAACGTACGTACCCGAGTTCCAGAGAGAGAGAGAGAGAGAGAGAGAGAGAGAGAGAGAGAGAGAGAGAGCGAGGACAGAGGTGAACTGCTGACGGAGTTTGCGATAAGAACAGTCAGGCTCGGACTGGACACCAGCGAAGAGAATTTTAGAGAGAGAGATGTGCCACATTTCAATTTTGTGAGTGACACCAGGACCAGCGATGAGGAGCGACACCGACTGGTTCTTCGGGGTTAGCGCACCGCTAACCGCCGAACGCAAGCGCACTACGACCTGGGTCGGGCTCATATCTTCCAACCTGGAATTTCGTTGGTTTCGGGCGGCAAGAAGAAATAATCCGTAACGACAAAACAACAGCATGCGTTCGTCCGCAACACAGTACGCGCCGCTGGCCGACAACACGGGCTCGCCGCTGAGCCCAGGCCGCCGGTCGCTGATCGGTAGCGCATCTCCCGCGAGCAGCCGCAGTGGCAGCAGTGCCACCAGCCGAGCGCTCAGCCTCTCTGCGAGTTCCATAGCCGGCTCCGCACCACGGCTGTGGGACACCTCAGAGGAGGAGCTGGAGCCGGAAGACCTTTCAGACTACTTTGACCGGCTAACAAGTCGGCGTGGTATCCATCGACGCGGCCGCTACGTCCTTCTGTCGCGCGCCCTCCTCTTGTCCTGCTGCGCGGTGCAGACGGCGTGTGCTACGACCTTCATCTCTTCGGTCCGCACAATGCCAGCGCGCACCGATGCGCAGTTCATGCTCGTGACTGTTGCCGCAGCTGCTGCCTCGGGCGTGGTCGGCGCTGCCGGCGCGTATTCGCGGTCCGGCTCGCTGCTGCGGTGGTTTGTCATCTCTCAGGTCTGGTGCATGTCTAACATCGTGGCCCAGTGCGTACTTGCTCAGCACAGCAGCCGAAGGTACGCCACGAAACCACCGCACAGGAGAAGAGACAGCACGTACTCTGACACACTCGCTCGCACCCGCGCAGGCAGCACGTCCTGTGCGCCGATGAGCCCTCCTCTGCATCCGCGAGCTGTCTGACTGATGAGTTTGACACGCGCTCTCTCCTGCTCGCGTTTGGCGTGGTGTATTGCTCCATCTTTGTTGCCGACACGCTGGCCCAGGCGTTCCAGGACCAGACCGTGCACGCGAGCAAGTACCGGCGCGGACCGCCACCGGCAAAGCCTCTCTGCCTGCGCAGCCTCGCTCATCTCGTCCCCATCTCCCTTCCCTCCCCGCGCAGAATTGTGCAAATGGTTTGGCTCATGCAGAAGCGAACGCTGGTCTCCGTTTCGCGCTTCGAGGCCATCATTCACGCTCACTTCGAGGAACTTGTGAATAACGGGTTGCTTCAGCTGACGCCGAGGGCGCGCAAAGGCGGAGGGTAACAGGCACCCAGGCCACCGGAGGATCGACGGAGGAGGCAGCTCCCACGTTGAGAGGTGTGTTTCCTTCACAACATATTCAGGGCGGCTTTTCACGCTCAAAAGCGGGTAACAAGGTCTCTGTGAACTCCCCGTCTCACACCCTCACTGACGTGTGCCGTGTGAGTTTCTTGTTTCTCATTGCAAGATCAACCCCTTTCTGTGAAAACCCCACGACCCAGCCCCGCCAGGCGCCGGGGTCACGAGGAACTTGCAAGTCGTGGCCGAGGCGGCGACGGGCGCGGTGCAGAGGTGGATCCAGCTCAATGATGAGGCTACGGCGCGCATAATGAAGAGAGAGAGGAACACATCGAGTGGCTGAGGAAGCTCTTCACTGGGTGGAAAGAGGCTCGGCCGGCCTTGAGGGAGTCGCAGAGGAGGGATAACGCAGGCAACGCAGGGACGGGCCAACAGCCAGTGGGACGAACGAGGGCCGCGACGGGGGCTCAAGCGGGAGGGAGCGGAGACGGTGGGCAGCGAGCAAAGCGTGGGTGAGACTGATGATGCTCCTTCGACTCACACGAAAAGGAATCGACGCGATGTGCAAAGCATACAAGAAGGGGAGAAGGAAGAGGAGAGACGCCGGTGAGGACGAAGCAGAAACTAGCGCAGACGAGAGCAGGGCAGACCCGGGGACTGGGGAGCCGGAGCAGACGGCATCGGCCGCCGAGGGAACGTTGGGAAGAGGCACGAGGAGGGCGGCGACCTCGACCGACTATGGAGGACCCGTCGCCAGACGACGCAGGGCAGAAGACGGTGAGGCGGAGCAGACGCGCAGGGCGAGACGAGGGAGGGAGCAGGACTTTGCGGAGATCAGCAGGAGGATGTACGAAGAGATTAGGAGCAGCAGGGACCCGAGGGACCATGTGGAAGACGGCTAGTGCTACCACAAAGAACCCTGCACAAAGATCGCAAGGGCGGGGACCTGTTCCTTTTTACCCATCTCACAGTAGAGAGGTGTCCGTTTTTATTTATTTATTTAGGCGCATGCCCAGGCGCGGATGCCGAGGCGCACGTATCCAGAATAAGAGCATTTTATGGCGCACAAGCTCGTCTCGTGGAGGACCCTTGGCCGGCCCCTAGCAAGCTAGTGCAAGCGCCACAAACGTCACAAGCGGTGCTCAGGCGCGAGAGTCCTCCTCGATGTTGTCTCCGAGTCAAAGAGTCACGCTGCCAGAGAGTGCAACCAACCGAGGCCAATCTTAGACGACTATTTGACCGTCCTTGGGCGGAAGCTCCTCCTCCGACACGTCGTCGGGGATATGGCGCAACGGTGCCGACCTGGGTGAGCTCTCTTTCCGCCTGCACAAGCCGAGGACGTCGGAGACGTCGCCCGGCCGCGCGTATAGCCAGACAGATACGCAAACGAGCCTGCAACACACGCAATCTGAGCCTCAGCCTCAGCCTCGTGGGTCGCGGGGCAATGGGGATGGCTCACCCAATCCCCTCAAAGAAGAGCTGGGTCGGATGAAAGTCAAAGAGGACCATCGACGAGCCACAAGTGAGCAGAAGAGCGAGCACCGTCGCAAACGTCTTGAGGACCTATCGACGCCATGACCGGTTGCAGCTAGAGTGGATTACTCGAGACGCGCAACCTCGGCACAACGACACGTTTCCGGCAAACTTGATCACCACGGCGGTGCACAGCGCGCCGACGACTTGCACCGCAACAACGACCCATGTCGAGGTATGGAAGCCTTGCACGAGACCGCGCCTCATCACCCTCTGGCCTACAGATTGACATTGACCGAAAGTCAGAGAGGAGAGCCGATCCGTCCTCGGCGCCGCTCCGCCACGCCGCCGTCGACTTGGGCGATGGCGATACACTGCAGCGGGATCGCGAATAGGCCGAGCTGCACGTTGCGCATCCAGAGCGAAGTGCCCCCTGCAGTGAAACAAGAGCCCGCTTTGCAGCCGCTCTCTGCGTGTGGACAAAATCACGGCGAGGCGGGGGCCCGAAGTGAACATCTTCTCGAGAAAGACACCGGCGAAGCCCGAGATGGAGGCAGCTGCGAGCGCGGCGCTGACACCGAGCCAAGGGGCGGCGCCGGTGGGAGCGCTCGACGACTTTCCGTCCTCCGACTGCACCTGCGGGCCGACAAAACGGCGGCTGAGCAGGGGGCGGCTACGAGGAGGGGCACGCTCTCCCAACGGCCACCAGCGCAACTCCGGCCATCAGTAGCAAAAAGGAGACCCACTGCGCGGCGCGGAAGCTCCGCCGCAGGAGCAAGACGGTGAAGAAGGCGGTGGAGATGGTCTTGAGCTGGTAGAGCACCTGAGCCGCGGCTGCCGACAGGTTGCTGATGGCCACGAAAACCAGGTTGTTCTGCATCGCGTAGCAGAGAGCCGGCACGCCGAGCAGCAAGGTGGTTCGCCTGCGAGCGAGGCCCCCCTCTCCTCAGCACACACCCCTCCTGCAAGCCGAGCAGTTCGCCCGGCGCACCGCTCCACCCACAAGTGGTGCTGCAGCTCCGCGCACAGCTCGCGCACGCTGAGGCGAGGGACGGGGGTGGGTTGGCAAGGCAGCGCACGACGCGGCAGAGGTCAAGGGCGGGAGCGTGGGTCTGAAGCGAAGGAGGGAAGCCGTCGCTCGGGCTGCCTGCCCCGAGCGTCCCGAAGCAGCAGGAGGAGGCAGATGGCCATCTTGATCAGCTCGACCATGAGCACGACCACCGAGGTCAGGTACAGCTCGTTGGGCTTACCCTGCCGCGTATACCGCGTCACCACAAACGCGGAGCTGTTTTGCACCATCAGCACGGCGAGACTGCCCCATTTGAGCAGGAGAGCCGTCTTTGTGCTCTTGCTGACGGCCTGCTCGCTCGAGGTCTCCGACGCAGAGACGAGGGAGGCTCTTTCTGCGCCCGCAGCGTCCTTCTGCATCGAAGCTCCAGCTGCGGGCGGCTCGGCCGGCTCAGGCAAGGCTTGGCAGTCGCGTTTGTGCCACAGTTCGGTTTGGGTCGTGCCACAGGGTTGCGCCCGCCCCTGTCGAGGTTCTTGAGGTGGATGCCGCCTTTGGCCGCGTGTTCCCGAGGTGAGTCTGTCAGTAGCGGCTAACCTCGAAATGTGCACCTTGGATGGCTGCGCTCCCTGTTTCGCAGCCAGATGCCCTGCAGCTATAAGCGCGTTTGCTATTCGAAATACCTGCGTTTCCTGTACACTAACGGAAGCGCGACAGCCTCCAGACACACACCTCATACACACATATGGAGCCCCTCTCTCGCCCCCCTGGCGGCGGCAGTGGCCATGGCGACGCTGACGGCGGTGGCACTCGTGGGACGTGGCGGTGACACTCGTGGCCGCGGCGGCGCCTGGGCAGCAGAGAGCTGTCGCTGCAGTGCTGGCGGCAGCTGGCGTGCAGTGAAAAGTAATCCGACCGCGGCCCCGCGGCCGCAATGAATTAAAAGGGGCGGTTTTCGAGGGGGAATCTGGAGAATCTGGGAATCTGCTCACCACGGACCCCCGCACCTCATCGAAAAACTGGGATCATCTGGCTTCCGGAATACTTCCGCGAAGCTGCCCCCAGCAGGCGTTTGACCAAAATCCAAATTTCCCAGCTCCAGTTGAGGCTGCCCTCGGACCCGAGAAACTTTTCCTCACACTCTGCAAGACATAGTACTTTTTTAAGGTGCTCTACAAGCTAGGCAAGATTAGGCACAAAAGATATGGCATTGCAGGCCATTTAGGGCCCCTTAGACGGTCACTGAGTAGGCCAAAATCCCCACTGGGCCGGGAGCAACCTTAATCAAAATACAACAATTGTAAAGCCGTACACGCAAACGACTGTGTACACGGCACACGGCCTAGCTACCCAAGCTATGCGTAGACGAAAATGTGGACAACCTCGGACCCCTCGTACCGGGTGGTGTAGGAGGCGTCCACCGCGCAGCGGCGGAGGTAGGCGGCGATTGCCTTCGCCTCAAAGTCGTTGACCAGATCGCCCCTGAGCGAGAGCACCTGCTGCGACCAGACTGTGGCCGGCGCGATCGCGGAGAGCTGGAAGCCTCGCTCGGAGGGCTCGAGCCGCGCGGAGAGGAGGTAGTTGTTGTACTCGAACACCTGCGCGAGCGCCTTGACGCCCTCGAGGAGCGCCGCCCTGCTCGGCCGCAGCTCGACGGTGGGCGCGAGGCCGGGATAGCGCTCGGCGATCGCGTCGAGGATCTTGTCGCCGACGCGCAGCGACAGCAGCGCCGGCAGCCGCGCATTGTCCCGCGGGAGGGCCGGGTCTCGCGCCACCACGACGCTGGTGCCGTTCGCGTCGATGAGCTCCTCGAACACCACCCTCCCGTCGCGCATCCCCGCGGCGATCGTGGCGTACTGGCAGTAGGACATGAAGTCGAAGTAGTTTGGGTCGGAGATGTCGCCCTGCTTGACGGGCGGCAGCGGCTGGCGGTAGCCCTCCCAATCGTCCTGGCGCAGCAGGAACTGGCGCTTCTGGAACTCGTCCATCGGCATGAAGTCAAGCTCGTCCGCCGTCGCGTACGACGTGCGCATGAGCAGCACCGCGAAGTCGATGTCGATGCGCCGCCGCGGAAGCGACCTGGGCCTCGGGCCGGCGGCACGCACCGCCTGCTCGCGCAGAATCTGCGCAAACGAAGTGCGGCTGTCGATCCGCTCGTCGAGCGGCCGCGGTTGGACCAGCGCTGGAGCCGGAGCGGGCACGAGCACTGTCGACGCGAGAAGATGCGCCGCGAAGGACCTGCGAGCAACTGAGGTGATGCCTTGCCGCATCGGGTTGATGGTAGAGGCAGGTAGGCACAAGACGGAGCAGAGGCGCGCGCCGCGCAGCGACACCCTGGGGTTCGCTCTCCAGGTGCCCCCGGTCTGCGTGCGTCGTGGCATGTTTTTTTTCGCGCATGCGTGTACACAAAGATTACACAGTCCGAACTTCAAGCACGCCTCACGCGCCAGCGCTACGAGACGCCTTCGGCCTACGAGACGCCTTCGGCTGGATGCCTCGCTGAATGCCGCAGCACCATCACCAGGCTGATCTGGAGGACGCCTAGCACCAGCGCGGTCACGAGGAGCTCCGCCGTCGCAAACGTCTGAACGTTGCACCCCTTAAGCCGCGCATCCTCGCCGCACTTCAAGCCCAGCTCGGTCAGTGCGAGCCCCACTGGCAGCCCTGTGGCCCAGGGGGCGAGGTCTGATGCCCACGGCACCTCCATGCCGTTGGCGACGAAGCTGGACTCGCACGCCTCGACCGTCGGCGCCAGCCCTGAGAGAAGGGTCATCTTGCCCAAGCCCCACGTGATCGCGTCGCCCTTGCCCAGCTGCATCTGCCGCACCATGCACTCTTTCGTGCATTTGGAGAAGAGCGCGCTCGCCTTTGCCAGTCTCTCAATCTCCGCGTCGGTCTCGGCCCCGGTCATCTCGAGGGGGCGGTCGTAGCAGCGTGGGAGGGCGGAGATGTTGATTGCCGTTGACACGAGCGCAAACGCCGCCGTGCCAACCAGTAGAGCCATTGCTACTCGCGCCAGGGCAAACCTGAGGACGAGCCGGCGCTGCTGCGGCAGGGGTTGCGATCCCTCGGGTGCTGCCACCGCAGCTTTGCTCGGTGCCGCCACGGGAGCTTCTCTGGGTGCCGTCGCCTCCACCTCCCTGGACGCTGTCGCGTCGGTGCCGGCCTTCACCTTGGCGATCCACCCGACGGTGTTGCGCAGCTTGCGCCACGAGGGAGACTTGTCGCCGTCCTCCTCCTCGTGCAGGTCAAAAAAGAAGGAGCTGCGCGTCGACTGGGCGTCGGCGGTGCTCTCTCCCACCGCATGCCCAGATACGACCAGGTAGGCGACGATGGAGCATAGAATGTAGAGAGAGGCGATGGCCAAATCGAGAGCGAGGGCACGGCGGTCGTCTTGTATGTCCATCGTGCCCAGCAACGCTACGAGCATGAAGACTCCAACCACGCCGATCACCGCAGAGATCATCTGGGCTGACTCACGCAGCCAGTTGCGGTTGTTTTGGTACTCGGGCTTGCAGATGCGCCAAGTGACGCCCGCGCAACGATTCCGCTTGGCCTCGAGGCCGTCCCTCGTCAAAGGAGACTTCAGGGCGGCGAGGTCGAACGTCGTCTTCCTGCCGCCCTTCCCGGTCTCCATCAGCGGACGCGCACGGCCCGACACCGGTCACCGCGCTTGGGACGGGCGAGTTGTTTGGCCGCCCCTCCCGGCCGCAGATCCCCCGGCCGGTCGAGCGGCTGCCCGCCACCTTCCGCCGCGACGCCTCCGCGTGCGCCTCTTGCCACGACCACGCTCCGCCGCACCGCGACTGCTGCCAGTCCGCCGCCGCCCGGCTGGCTTACGGCGACGGTGCGTGGGCGTGGGGAAGGAGCCACCGCCCCACCACCACACCCGCCGCAGACCACAACCGCCGTCCCTCGGGCCTTCAGATGCGCGCCGGGGAGGTTGTGCAGAGGCGAGAGGGGCGCCTCTACCTCTGCGCGGTAGGTGGCGCGGCTTGCCTCGCCTGCCTGCCCGCCTTCCGCAACCTCAGCAGCCGGCAGGCGTGCGCGGCGGCGGAAGCGGCGGCGATCGAGGTCGGCCTCAGCCTCAAGAGCCATTGGGTCTCCACGCCCATGCGACCGTGCCGCTTGCCAAACATGGTCGGGGTCGACCCGCTGGATTTGCTGCTGCGAGGCGCCGTCGGGTGATCGGGACGGCGCGTGGAGCATTCTCTGAACCGTCTCGGAGCCTTCCTGTAGGCGCCGAGGAGAGAGCAAGGCCTGGAGCCTCGTGCCGCGTGTCGTCGCTGCACGAGTTTCGGTGCGCGAGCGGCCAGTGCGTCTCGATGACGGAGCGGTGCGATGGCGTTCGGCAGTGCCGGGTGCGGCCCGTCCCCAAACGCGCCGGGCCGCGCACCGCTCCCCCGCTGACCGCCGACCGCCTCGCCGGCGCCGCAGGACGGCACGGACGAGGAGGGCTGCCCGAAGCCATCCGCGAAGCCGCTCGTGGGGTGGAAGGCGGCGCGAGCGAAGCTCGACTGCTGGGGAGGTTGCGGCGGTGCAGGCGCTTGCCCGCACTTTTGTGGCGCAGGTCGGGCTTGTTGTCAGAATGGAGCAAAGGACCCGTGGCCGTGTCCTGCGACCATGGCGACGCACTACTTCTTCCACACTTGTGCGCGAGATGTAGCCGACATGTAGCCAACATGCACATGTGGCCGACATGCGGCCGCGACTCGCCGTAGCGACGCACTCTCTTCTCCGCGCCTGCGACGACGTGGCTCCAGTGCGGCGGTGCGGCGGGGAGCCGCCCTCTTGACCAGCGCACGCGGTGCCTGTAGGCACTGAGGCTCTGGAGTCGCAGCCGCCGCCGCCCCCGCCGCCGGCGAGCAAGCGCGCGCTGCTTGCGCTGGGCGGCACTTTTGAGCGGAGCGCGCCAGTGGCCTGGCCGTCCGTGGCGGCCAACATCGTCGCGCCCTTGCGCGCGGGTGGGTTCGCTGTGTCCATCTATGGCTTCGAGCTGCAGCCAGCGGGCGCTCTCGTGGACGGCGTGAGATCTTGCGCCCCCGTCCTCTCTTTGGCGCGCGGCACGCCGATCGGCGAGTATGACTCGCTGATACAGGCGGAGGCCGACGCGGCGGCGCCCGCTTCGCTGCTCAAGCCCGACCTATTCTTTTGCGACTCGCCCTACGCGAGGCGGACGCACGTGCCGCTCGGCAACAACTGCTCGATCAACGTGGTGCGGCAGCTCTTGTCCGAGTCGCGCGTCGCCCGCTTCCTCGAGGCGAACGCCGGACGCTTCGACGTGGCCGTCGCGCTGCAGGCGGACTACTTTGTCGCCACCCCCATCGACATGCGCGACGTCGGTGCGGCGATGGGCGGGGGCCAGGGCGGCCGGTTCGTCTACCTCAGCGACGCCAACGACGCGTTTGGCTTCACAAACGGCTTCTATCTCGGCCCTCCGCGCGCCGTCGCGGCCGTGATGGGCCGTTTGGACGCCGCCGCCGCCGGCCAGCTCGACACCAGCCGCGACTACGAGCGGCTGCTCAAGTCGGCATTCGAGCTGCTGGGCATCGAGCGGCGAGTCTCACGCCTAGCCGTCTTCAAGGTGCGCGCCAATTGCGGCGTGCACTGGCAGGGCATCGGCAACCCGTGCCCGAGGACGAGGCGAGAGAAGCGGCACCACCGCTGCCTGCGGAGGAACCGTTTCGACCACGTGCTCGACGGCTCGGTGGCCGCGGTGATGCGCGTGCAGCAGGTGCATCGCGCCCTCGTCGACCTACTCCGCGGCCGCGGGAACTGCGCGTGCGGTCCGCGCATCGACGCCGGACCGGTGCTTGCCGCGGCGGCGGCGGCAGCCAACGCGAGCGGCGGCGGCGCATTGTCGGCACGTTGCAGCGAGGTGCGCGAGTGCTGGATGGCCGACGTGGCGCTGGCGCGGGGCACCATGGCGTTCGGGTGATACTGCAGTGTGATCTCGCGGACGACTCGCACACAACTGCTCTCGTGAGAAAATAAAACAAGTCATACAACACTGGTGCTCGGCTCCAACGGCTCACCTGCAGTGTCATGTGAGCGTCTTTTGCGCCTATCCCTGCGCGCTCGCTTTAAGGAGGACGCCGGCGAGAGAGTCCCGTGTGGAGGTAATCTCTGACTTCCCGACTTTCGGGAGGCAGCTCCGGCAGCCGGCAGGCCAATGACGGCACCCGGCAGCTTGTGGGAGCAGTTGGAAGCTGTTAGCGCCTCGCTCTCGACATCGTTGATTGATTTGAAGGAAAGACTGCTGGCGACGCTGCGTACGATGAGGACCGCACCGAGTACAAAGAGGGCGAGAAACGCGTAGAACTGCGTCCCAAGCACTCCGCCGGGCCGGATGCAGCGTCCGGCCCACACCTGGCAAGCGCCGGGCATGAACGGCGGCTGCGGTGGCGGCGGACTCGCCTCTACCATGGTGCGCCACCCCTGCTCCTACGACGCGCTCGGCGAACAGTTTTGCGCCGCTCCTCGACGTTCGCGTTGTGTAAGTAAGAACGGCGGCGGGCGCTGCCACAATCTGCTATCTGGACAAACCACTTTTTGAGAGAAGAAAACCGTTGGACCACCCAAGCAAGCCTGCCCGCAGCCCGATCCCGATCATCCGGCCCGCTGGTGCGCTTCACAATACAACATACCAAACAAGCATAGCTCCCCGGCCGCCGCGCGCCGGCCCCCGCCCCTGTGGGTGTGAGACTGAGAGACAGAGCAGAGAGGCTAGAATGTGTAATGAGATAGCTGGCCATGTGGCTAGACCATCTCCTAGAATGTGTAAGTGACAGCTCTGGCCAAGCGTGCAGTCATAAGACTGACTCCCAAAAGCAAAAACGGCCGTCAGGTGCGTATGCGTATGCCGCCAGAGACGCGCCACACACCCACCGCGTCGGAAGTGCCGGCGACACACACGACGCCCGACGGGTGGGGCAACACCCAGTTCGGCTTCTGCGCGAGGCTCGCCGACCCCACCGCGCGCAAGCTGGCCCCCTCCGACGCCCCCTCGGCCGGCGGCGGCTCGCACGCCCATAGGCGCAGCCGAGAGTCGTCGCCCGCAGAGAGGAGCGGCACCGCCGTCCCCCACCCTGCACCGCCGAGCTGCGGCGCAAAGACCACCTGCGACGCGGCGGCGCCGTGCGCGGACGGAGCCGCCGCGAGGAGAGCGCCGTGGTTCGCGTCTCGCAGCTCGATCGACCCGTCGCCGAGGGCGGCGGCAAAGGCGGTGCCGCCGGGCTCAAAGGCGAGCGAGTGAACGTGCCGCGGGTTGATCACGCGCGGCGCCTGTGGCAAGGTTCAGAGAGGGCTCAGGGAAGGCTCCTGCGAGCTCGGCACGGGTTGAAGAGGCACTGTGGCGCCGCTCCGTCCGACTGCGCCGGCGGCGCCGCGGCCGCGAGGCACCACGAGCACAGCGTCGCGCCGGTGAGGCAGTCCCACCGCACAGCAAACGCATCCGTCCCACCCGAAAGCAGCTCGAGCCCGCCGCCGCCGCCACCGGCTGGGCGAAAGGCGAGGCAGGCACAGATGGAGCCGTGAGCGGCGTCCAGCTCCGGCGGCTGGCTATCGCCATCGAGGTTGACGACGCGCACCTCGCCCGAGTCGTCGCCGATCGCGACATGCTCGCCAGCCGCGTCGATTGCCAGCGCTCCCACCTCGTCGCTGCTCCCGCCGAGCGACGGCACGGCAGGCTCGCGCATCAGCACGCCCGGAGCGCGCAGGTCGTAAGCAAAGACGTCACGTCCAGCGGCGCCAAAGACAAAGTGCTCGCACCCTCCACGGCCCACGGCGAGAGCGTTCACGGCCTGAGCGCCGGGAGCAACCATCGCCCGCGCCGTCCTTTGCGCGCCGAGGTCCCAGAGACGGACGGTCCCGTCCTCGCCGCCCGAGACCAGCATGTCACCCTCGCCCGCGAGGCAGTTCACACCGCCACGGTGGCCGCGGAGCGACGCCGCCTGAGACAGCTCTCCCATGGGATCGATGGAAACGGGTGCTGGCACGGCGGGGCGTTGGAGGAGGAGGTCTCGCGGCAGGCACACGGGTTCGGGGCTCCAACCACGTATGGAAGGTAAGTAAGGTAAGGTAAACTTCTCCACACACACGAGGATTATGCCGACGCCCTCGCCAAGGGCCACACGGTCATCCTCCTCGTGACCGAGTCGACCGGAGCATTCTCCGCCGACCTCGATCGCGTCCTCCGCCAGCTTGCGAGGACCGCACGCGCTAGTGGGTCCATTGACCACACGCCGTATGGCACCTCTCGCGCGTCCACCCGCTCACACTACACCTTCCACTCCGCCGCCATCTCCGCCGCCATCGTCACCGCCGACGCCCTCACCATCCAGAACTCGGCCGCCGCCCTCGGCTTCGAGCTCACCCTCGACCCTCGCGATCTCGCCCGGCGCTCGACGTCGGGTCCTCGGCCGCCATTGCGGTCGGCGCCACCACCTCCTCCCGCCCCCCCCGCAGCCACTGCCGCGCGGCCGCCAATGCGACCGACCCCACCCTCCTTCCCCGACCCCGCCCTAAACGCCCCCGACAGCGAAGCCCGCGCCGCGCGCGGCACCCCCACCGACTCTGCCTCCGACCCCAGGGCCTAGGCGGCCCGCCATGAAATCTAGCCGTGTGTGCTGGCGTCCGGGTCCCAGCGGGTTTTCACGTAACAAGTACACACGAGGTGGTGGGGCAAGGGGGGGCAACCCTCGCGTCTCCACGTCTAACGACAGGAGCCCCACGGCATTCAAAGTGCAAGGCCCGGTGCGCGTGGGTGAGCGGTGACCGGTGTGTGTGTGTGTGTGTATGTGTGTGTGTGTGTGTGTGTGTGTGTGTGTGTGTGTGTGTGTGTGTGTGTGTGTGTGTGTGTGTGTGTGTGTGTGTGTGTGTGTGTGTGTGTGTGTGTGTGTGTGTGTGTGTGTGTGTGTGTGTGTGTGTGTGTGTGTGTGTGTGTGTGTGTGTGTGTGTGTGTGTGTCTCACGTCACTGCATCCTCTGCCGGTTCCTCCCGTCGCCTCTTCTTTGTTCGAATGTTTTTCAATCCATCCTTCACGTACTGTATGGAAGCCCACGCATCACACAGGGACCCACTGGCCCTCGTCCACACTCTACACCCTCGCCGCGCCTCACTCATCGCACGGCCCGTGCTTTTGGCACCATCGCTCCCGCCACGCGTCGTCGGGCCGCCCCCAGCCGATGGTCGCGCCCGCCGGCGCGAGCACGCCCGACACCCACGGCACCTCCCGCGGCATCGCGTCTGGCCACACGTCCATGCTCACCGCCCACGGCCAGTCCCGGCGCGGCGCTTGTCGCATCCGCTCGGGGTAGGTGCTGTGGCCAAAGTGCGGGTCCTTGGGCGCCTCGGGCAGGCGCTCCGCCTGGAACTTGAGCCAGCACTCGCCAAACTCGTGCACGTGGATGTCAAAGGCGAAGCAGCGCGGCGAGGGGCAAAAGGTCCAGATCTGGCACGCACGCCTCTGCCCGCCTCCGCAGAGCATCGCCGGCCGGCGGCCGTGCTTGCGCGCGCTCGCGGTGCCGTTGGCTTCGGCGGGCCACCACTCCTTCCCCTCGGAGCCGGCGCCGCCGCAGATGCGCGCGTGCGCCTGGCAGGCGGTGCAGCACTCGGACGCGCCAGCCAGGTGGAAGCCTGGCTTGCCGAGACCCCAGACGAGCGCTCCGTCGCCCGCGTAGCCGGTGTTGGCGCGGGCGTGGCAGGTTGCGTCCGCCACATCACCCTCGCCGCCGGCCACCGAGTCGATGTGCAGCACTCGTTCCAGCGCCTGCAGCCGCTGGTCAAAATCGTCGTCGGCAGCGGCGGCCGCGGCGGTTGATGGAAACGCCGCACTGTTGAGGAGCAGGAGCAGGCCGGCGGCGATCAGCAGGCCCGCGATCGACGATGGGACGGATGCCGACGAGCGCGATCCGCGCTCGCGGCCGAGCGGGGCATAGGCCGTCGGCATTGGAGCCTCTTCGTGCCGGAAGTCGGCTGCGACCGTGGACGGGCCGGATGGGGAGAGTTCGAACCGAGGGCGAGTAATCCAGCGCGAAGACTCTCTGGTCGTGAAGATGTGGCCCGGGTTCACGCGGCTCGGCGGTGGTCGCAAAGGCCAGCGCGAAGAAGTGTCTTCCGTTGCGTCGCGTTTTTCGGGCAAGGCGTCTATTCGGTGCTCTGCACGTTAGAGCGTCCGGCAGGTCCGGCAGGCACCCTGCCGGACGCAAATGGGGCCGCCTGGTGGCCTCCGAGCGCCAGCCGAAGCAACCCTCGTCGTGCCCCGACACCCCCCCGACTCATGATGTGCCGCTCTTGCCTGTGTGGCCGCTGACGGCGGGACCCCGTGCGCGGCTGCGCCGCAAACTCGTCACTGCCGTCGTCACACCTGTCCACAGATGCGACGGGTGCCTGTCCGACCGCGACAAACAGGCCTCGTTGCGGATCGCCAGCCCGCCCTTTGCCTCCGCAGACGCCCAGCTAGCCGAATCGTCGTTACCTTCCGCAGACCGACTTCGCGAGCGAGCGGGCGCGTTCTAGATGACGGTCACGCCCAACTCACCGGCCTTGTGGCCTGAAACCGATTCTGAGCCCTGCCTCCCCCGAGCGGGTATGGACGCTGCCCGGCGGCCCGCGGTACGATTCGGTCCCGCCACCTCCCTCCCGGTTCCCGCAGGTGAATTATTGCGATTTCGCCACCCTCCTCGCCGCCCTCTCCGCCACTGTCGCCTCCGCGCTCTCCTCCGCCGTCGCCGCCGCCCTCGCCTCCACCGCCCTCTCCGCCACCCTCCCCGCGGCCTTCTCCACCGCCCTCTCCGCCGCTCTCTCCTCCGCCGTCGCCGCCGCCCTCGCCGCTGCCGTTGCCGCCGCACTCCTCCCCGCTGCCGCCCTCACCCTCCCCGCCGTGCCGTCGGTCTCGCCGTCGCCTTCTTCCGTGTCGCTGTCGCCGCTCCGCCGTCCGTGTCGCCGTCGCCGCCTCGGATCTGTCCGTGTCGCCTTCGCCGCCTCCGTCCGTGTCGCCGTCGCCGCTGCCTTCCTCCGTTTCGCCATCCCCGCCGCCGATCTCACCTTTGCCGCCTCTCCATGTCGCCGTCGCCGTCGCCGCCGTCGGTCTCGCTTTCGCCGCCTCTGTCCTTGTCGCCGTCGCCGCCGCCGCCGTTGGAATCGCTCTCCCCGCCGCCGTCGGTCGTGTCGCCTTCGCCGCCTCCGTCCGTGTCGCCGTCGCCGCTGCCTTCCTCCGTCTCGCCCTCCCCGCAGCAAGCTCGCTTGCCGTCGCCGTCGCCGCCATCGGTCTCGCTTTCGCCGCCTCCGTCCGTGTCGCCGTCGCCGCCTCCGTCCGTGTCGCCGTCGCCGCCTCCGTCCGTGTCGCCGTCGCCGCTGCCTTCCTCCGTCTCGCCCTCCCCGCAGCAAGCTCGCTTGCCGTCGCCGTCGCCGCCATCGGTCTCGCTTTCGCCGCCTCCGTCCGTGTCGCCGTCGCCGCCTCCGCCGTCGGATTCGCCTTTGTCGCCTGCTCCGTCCGTGTCGCCCTCGCCGCCGTCACAATTCGGCATACACACAGTTTGCACATCTGCAAGTTCTTCTTGATGCACACGGCGGTGCAGCCCCCGGCCATAGCGGGCAACTCAAGGCATCGACGCTCTCGCCGAAGCCCCTGTGCACCTCCCGGCACTTGCCGCCGTTTTATTCGGCGCAATGGCCGGCGTTGAAGCTCCGAACCCAGGCGCAGCCGAGCCCGTTTCTTTCAGAGACAATACCAACAACCTCTTTCACTCATTCTTAAAACAGTACCGGCCGGGATTTCGAAGATAGTGCTAAAATGGATACCTGGAGAATGGCATTTAATTTCGCGGACCGGCTCTTAACAATCAGGTCATGTCACCGCTTAATGTGCATGTGCGTGGCCTACGTCAGAGACCAAGTGACCAGCCGTCCCGGGCAATTTGTGACCCGTCTACGCCCTCGCGCCTCGGGCGCGGCCGGCCGCCGCCGGCTGCCCCGTTGACTTCTCCGCCGCGCGCTACGCGTTCGTTCGCAGTAATCTGGCTTAGTTCAGAGAGGTCGGGTCCAGTCTCTATGCGTATCACAGCGCGGCGCTGGCCTGCGCATGTCGGGCATGTAGTCGAATCAATCAATCATCCCGACATTTGATGTTAGTGGCAAAACCGCGGAACCGAAAATGGCGTTTAATTTTGCGCACCTGCTGTCCGCCGCCTGCGGCGGCGCTGCGCGCCGCGTACGCGCGCGCTGCGCGCGCGTTTTTTCTCTCTCTTTCTCTCTTTTTCACAGTGTAATTTTACCGAAAAAATGCCGTTTTTTCTTGCCGTGCACATTCTTCCCACATTCAGAGAGAGAGATTTTTAGCAATACCAAACAAATCTAACACTCACGCGTCATTTGGGGCCTGGAGCCCTGTTCACGCGCGCGCGAGACGTGCAGACAGGGTGAGGGCCCAACAGGAGAATCGTGCTTTTTGGGTTGGGTTGGGTTGTTGGGCCTGGGTTGGGTTGTTCCGCGTAAGGTTGGGTCGTCGGCGCGAAGGGTGAGGTCTCGACCGCCGCCGCTCACGCCAGCGGACGGCCACCATCGGTGTTTTTGGCTTCGCCACCGTCCAAAGCGTGCGCAATGCGCTCGCCGGCATCGAGCGAGCACGCCTGTCCGACGAGCGGCTTGCTGTGTGGACGCCTTCTTGTGGCTCTCGCCGAGAGCGTTTTGCGTCCAGGGGTCTCGTCGCAAAACTCGTTGATGCTCTATGGATGATGAGAAGTGCGCGAGGTCCAGGGGTCTCGCGCACCCTCCCGGCTAGGCCGGTAGGGGACGGGGCGGCACTCGAGACTCGTATAGCAAGGCCCGTGGGGCACTCGCCACGGGCCGCTCCCACATGTGCCGGGCACAACTCCTCCGGAGAGTTCGCCCACCACAGGACCGATGTCCATGTCGCATGTGGGTCAGTCAGTGTTCGTTGTGGCGACCGAGTGCTCGCTGAGCGGCACCGAAGTGTGTCGCTACGGGCGGGATATGCTAGCTATTCTCGATTGCTCACCTTGACACGATTGCTTGCGCGAAGGCAGCGGAGGCGCGCAGCGAGAGACAAGCGATCCTGCTGCTGCAAGAGAGCAAAGCAGGTTAGGCCGAGCGACTGTCGACTCGAGCGTTGGTCGATCTGCGCGTGTAGGCGGAGTAGATAACCACCACGGCCGCGGCGCACCTCGCAAAGGTGGCCCGTGTGTAAAGCGCGCCGAGAGGTCTCGCGACGGGGCCGAGTCGAGCGTCGCGCTGCCTCTGGTCTGCATCGCGCGCCACACGGCGGCACGTCGATAGCGATGCAGCACCCCAGGGGCACCCGAGAGGGCGCCTGCGCGGCTGAGGGGCGCGCTAGAGCAGCCCGGTGAGCCCTAGCGAGGCGCGGGGCGCGCTCGAGCGGGCGGCCGCTATGAACGTCTGAGTATGCCGAGATGAGGCATGCTCGTGTAAGAGGCGGCGAGGCGGGGCTGCGGCTGCAGGCGGCCTTCCCGCCAAAGGCACGCGACGCGGAGGCGTGCGGAACATGGTCGAGGGGCATGGGCCCTACCGCGCTAAGGGAGAGGGAGGCGAGGGGGAGGGGGAGGGGGATGGAGGGGAGTGTGAGGGGTATGGGGGCGAGGGAATGGAGGGAGAGAGGAAGAGCAAGGGCGAGAGGGGGCAGGGGACTGGTCGATGGCATACTAGGGGGGGCAGGGTAGTGGGCGGCGATCGCCGCATACCGTCCTATGGCGGCGAGTATCGCTACGCCAGGGAGGACAAGGACGTCGACGTGCGGCTGCTGCTGTTCGAGTCGTTCGGTGGGTTTGGGAAGGGGGTCGGCGAGATCCTCTGCGGGGCGGCGAACGTGCTGCAGAACAAGCTGACGCGGGCCCAGTACCTCGATGAGGTGACTTGGACCACCAAGAGCTGGCTGGGGCTGCAGAAGCAGCGCATCTCAGTCGTTCTTCACACGGCCATCGCAGAGCAGATTGTGAATGAGCTTGCCAGCGGCGAGGGCGGTCGAGTGCACGGAGCTAAGTGCCTCGCCGTCCTCGCGGGAGTCGCTTAGGCGGCTCCAGTGGTGTACCTGTGCTAGTGCCAGTGCGCGCCAGTCCCGTGCCCAGTGTTGCACTTGGAGCACTTGGAGTGCAGTCGGCAACCTCGCCAGGTAAAATTCTTTTTCGGGCGCGCCGCAAACTAGCGCGACACCGTTCCGTTCCACAAGCATGTCACCACTGCGCCAATGTCACTCGCCGCGATGTCTGCGGCGGTCGAGGGACTGGAGGTGGACGCGGCAGCGACTCGGCAGACGCTGATTCGCGTTCGTGGCGGCACGTCGGCTAGCTTCGCCGACGTGCTAACCCCTAACCCTAACCCTAACCACTCCTGCTCGTCGCCTGCGTGCGTCGCGGCTCGCCTCGTCGACGCCGCCTCCACGGGCGATGTCGAAGCGCTAAACCGCGCCATCGCGGCTCAGCCCAGCATCAGCAGGGAGAGGGCCCTCACAGCCGCAGCGCTCGGCGGCCACCGGAGAGCAGTGCTCTTGCTGCTCGCGTCGACCGTCCTCGCGCGGCACGGCAAGCTGAGCTGCCTCCAGGTAGCCCTCCACCACCCGCGTCTCTCCTGCCGCGTGCGCGTGGCGATGGTCCGGCTGCTGCTGCAGCGGCGGCGGCCGCGAGGCGAGGCGCCGCCGCTGAGCGGGCCCGCCGCCGCGGCGGAGGCGCGCCGACAGGAGAGGGTGCGCCAGGTGATGCTCGCCTCGGCCTGCACGCCAGCTGGCCCATCGCTGCTCGCCACGCTCGCCTCGGAAGGCCACCTGCCCCGAGGCGCCGGCGGAGGCAGCCTTGCCGACGCGCTGGCCCTGAGCCGGAGAGCGCTCTTCGCGCTCCGCGGCGGCGGAGGCAAGGACGTGCGCGGCTGCTACGACGAGTACGCCAGCCATCGCGACGCAAACTACGTGCTGTGCGGCGAGGCGGACCCAACCCCGACCCGTCAACACCCCGGCCCACCACCCCGTCACCACCACCACCGCCCCGCCCTTACCACGGAGATGACCCGAGATGACCCGAGATCACCCCAGGCCCCCTCCAGGTTCGCGTCGGGATCCGGCTGGCCAGCCTGCGCGCCTTTGAGCAGGCGGCTCAGCAGCTCGCTCTCTGCGCGTCTGGGCGTCGCAGCAGCCCCCGTCCGTCCGCCCGGACGGGGAGAGAAGCTCGAGCCGCTCTGCTGCTGGCTCTCTAGGCTCGCCGCAGCGCCGTGGACGCCATCCTCACACGCCGCCTACCCTCCTCGCTTCCGCGCGGCCGTGCGCACGCTGCTGCTCTGTGCTGCGCGCGAAGGGGCGTCGCCGGCGGTGCTGCCGACCGAGGTGCGCACCAAACCCCACGCCCGTTCGCACCGCGGAGCAGCGCGCCTCGCCACAGCGGCCCTCTCCGCACCCATCTGCTCCACTCTGGCTCTTCGGCTCAGGCGCTGCTCCTCGTCGTCGAGCAGCTGGCCTGGCGATGGTTCTGGGACGTCGATTTGCTGCTCGAACGTGCCGACTCACACGAGCTTGGCGTCGACGTAGCGGCGGCCAGCGCGACCTCCGCGCTGACGCCGTCACGGTGACGCCGCTGTCGCGTGCGCCGTTTCGCCCGTCTCACGTCTCAGACTCTTGTGCTCAAAGACTCGTCTCATCAATGCAGTATGCACGGTCCACAGGGAGACTCGAACGCGCCGCCCGAGTCGCTCCTGTTGTACTCGAGAAATAACACAACTTTATGACGTGGGTGGGTGTCTCTCTATGAGTCTCTGACTCTCTATCGCCCGTCTCGTCTCCTCCATTCCCGATGCGCCCCGCTTCCCCACCCAGATGATGTCCCACTGGCGCCCCTCTGTGCGCCCATCGTCGCAGAGCCGCCCGAGTGAGGAGCTGGCCCCGGCGGCGCTCCGCTCCTCCCCTTTCTCCGGCCGGCCCTCGAGACGACCTCCCACTCGTCCTCGCCGCCGTTCTCGCCGCCGCCCCCCTCCCCGCCACCTCCTCGCCCGCGGGCCAATAGTCCCCTCGCCCGCGCCTCGCCCTCGCCGCCACCCTCATCGCTACCACCACCAGCCTTGCCACCGCTCTCCTTGCTACCGCCCTCCTTGCCGGCGGCGGCGCCGCTGCCCTCGCCGCCGCCGCTGCCCTCGCCGCCGCCGCTGCCCTCGCCGCCGCCGCTGCCCTCGCCGCCGCCGCTGCCCTCGCCGCCGCCGCCGCTGCCCTCGCCGGACCCGCCGCCGCCTCCTCCCTCGCTCTCGTGGACTCTGGTGATCGCGATGCCCTTGGCCGCCATCTCGAGCTCCTTGTCCCTCAGATACCGGCTCAGGCTCCGCCTCATCCGGCTCTCGAAGCGCGAGTCGGTCCTCTCGCGCAGCCACGGCAGCCTACAGGAAGGGCCCGCGCCAAGGCTCCGACAAGGCTCCGAGGCCAGGGCGGTCCTCTCGCGCGCTCGGCGCCGCTGCAGCCAGAGCAGAATGGTCGTCTCCCAGACGACGTGGATGTTGCAAGTCGAGATGTCGAGGTAGGCCGGCCGCAGCTGCAGCGTCGCCGGGTCGAGCAGCTCGTCGCAAATGTCGACAAAGTCGACCGCAGCGTGCTCCGCGCAGGCGGCGCGCAGGGCTGCGTTGAAGGCGCGCGTGCGGCCCTGCCGCGCCGCGAGCGAGCAGTCGGCGAGGTCCACCCTCGCCGCCTGCGCCTCGCTCAGCACGCCGTACGCGGCCACGCTCTTCGGCACGCTCTCCGCCTCGATCAGGCTGGACGGGTATGCGCCGACGACGAGCCTCTGTGCCGGCCCGGGCAGACCGGCGACAAAGGCGACGTAGGCGCGTGCGATTGCCTCGAGGTCAATCTCCTCGGGCGGCTCGCGGCCGTACTTGCAATAGTAGTACGACATGTGCACATCGACGCTCCCAAAGACGAAGACGGCCGTGTGAGTGCCCGGCCGCTGCGCAAGCGTCTTGGCGATGTCCTCGCGGTTTGTGTTGCCGGGCTTGGTGAGCCCCTTGGCACTGCCGCCCTTGTACGGCTTGATGCCAATCTCGGCGTGGCGGACGAGGCTAAAGATGCGGCTGAACGAGTCGCCAAAGATGAGATAGCCAGCCTCCGGCAGCCGCTCGCGGCCGCGCGAGGGACCGGGCTCAGCACGGTCGGCAGCAGCGCCGCCGTCAGCGGGCGCTGCAGGCCCCATCGTCGGAGAGGACTCCTTCGAGCTGCAGGTATGAGCCCTCTCCGACGGGCGTGACGACGCGGCGCGCGCACTGGCCCTGCGCTCTGGCGAGGGGAGGAGCCCGGCGAGTCCTACCCAATGGGGGCTGAGGGCCAAAAGTAAAACGCGCGACGCCGCTCTCGGCTCTCAGAGAGGCGTTATATCTCAGTAACCCCGCTCGCAGGTACTAGAGCAGCGTTCGTCAAGCTCAAACCCCACTCTGCACAACACAGAGCAGCGTTTGCCTAACAAGACTCCGCTCTGCAACCTTCAGAGCGGACTCTTGCTCAGAAAAACACCGACCGAGCACGTTTCGAGCGGAGTCAAGTCAGTGCAACACCGCTCAACATAGCGGGAGCGGTCAATTTCCGCGGAGAGGCTGCTTTCGCCTCCCTCAGTCGCGCTCTCCTCCGCCCCTCCTCTTCAGAGCGGGACTTTGCTGAGTGAACACCGCTCTAGCTGGTCAGAGCAGCGATTGCTTTAAGCTGACACCGCTCTAAATGACGTGAGCGGCGTCGCCCTGAATAGACGCTGCTCTGGGACGCCGGGACGGCGATGCCACCTGACGCCGACGGCGGATCCACGATCGCTCGTGGCGCGCGGCGCGGCGTGGCGAGCCCCGCCCCTGGGGTTGAGCAGCGTGTGG